TATCCATCCAAGAAGAGCATGGACATTCCAAGTAATCCTGCGTCAAAGAAATCTTTGAGTATATTGGGTTCACATGCTGAAGAAAAAAGTGTTGTGTTCTCCATTGAAAAAATTAAAATGCATCCAAAAATAATTATCTCCAAAGAACAACTTGACCGTTTAGACATCAGTTCAAGACCTTTCCCTAACAGCTATGGGAAGAGTGTATGGCATGAAAAAAGAATAAAAAAAAGGGGGAAAATCTGATTTTCAAGTGCATTCAAACTTTCAGCCAATAGGAAAATTTTCTTGGTGCCAAAGTGCCAACTACATGTTCAAAATATCAGCATCCCTCATTCCCCACCTAGAATTCACAGTTGTAGCTCACATCTTTTAGACTATTTATACAAGGAAAATAAGCACTACATTCCCAACAGGACATCAACATGATGGCGCATAAACTCTACCATAATTGTCCTGCCATCTCCAAATGCAGCAAAGCAGCGGGCTAATTAGTGTGCCACACTCATAGTGGTCGCTATAGTTTAAAGGGCTTGTGATAAACACAGAATATGACATAGGTTGATCTACAAAAACTCAAAACACTAACATGTCCCAGCTCCGTCTTCCAATTACAGTCTCAGAAATCCAAATGCTCTTGAGATCTTTCCATTTGGCCTGGACAGGCATCTGCCTAGAAATAGGGAGCAAACCATGCTGCCCAATGCCTCACGTGGCCAGTTGAAAGGATCATTGCGCCTTACATCCTCCGTAGCAACTTTGCGATGTCCAGAGTAGGAAACACAAGTAAATCCTTTTGCCCTAGTTTCTGAGTATGCAAAGTTCAATGACTCATGTGGGCAGGCGAGATGATCATCACGCCTTACAAAGACTTCATTCCATCATCAAGAAAAGTAAATGACATATCAAACAACATCCAGCAAAATGTTCCAGTTACTTTATTTTTTGATCTATTCTGAGGCAGCAACATTATACTAAAAAAACAAAATAAAATTGACTAACCAGACTTCATATCCACCCTATCAATCCTCCCATATCTTCTAAAAAGACGCTCCACATCAGACTGGCGCGCGTCGTAATCAAGATTGCCACAAAATATAGCCTTCATTCTCCCTGGCAATTGGAGCAAAGCTTATCGTCCAAGGCCAAAAAGAAATTAATAAATAGAAATATAGAACCAGGCAAACAAAACTGGAGTAAAGAAACGCAGCAAGAGAGTACCTGGTTGTCTTTGTGAGGCAGAAACACAGAAGAGAAACCCTAGGATAGGCAGCGTAACTGGACGAACTGCAAATCAGAAATTGAAGATAGGCGGCATAGACACTAGACAGCCAGAAAGACTGGATGCTCAAGGGAACAAAAGGGCAACAATACGACAGCGTTTTCGTGGAAATATGGCGTCATTTTCTTTTGTTTTGAAACTCGAGAGTTTCTTTCTTTCTCCTCAAAAAGAGAAGAGGTCATTGTCTGCCCCTGAGCCTGTCTGGCCGCGTGGTTTTTTAAGTTTTTTTTTAATTTAAAATTATTAATTTTTTAGTTAGCTAATTTCAAAATTAATTTTTTTAAAAATAATAATATTTTAATATATTTTAAAACAAAAATATTTAAAAAAATATAGTACAATAGCACTACTCAATCCCAAATAAAAAAAAAATGACGATCATGTGGATGTAATATTTTTAGCATTGAGATTTTCCTATGCTTATCATCTCGGTAATTTTATAATTGGCGTTATTGGATGTCAAAACCCAGCAGAATAGAAGTAATTCAAATGAAGGTACTGTTTGGGAGTAAATTTTAACCTGTTTTTTTATTAAAATTTATTTTTTATTTTAAATTAATATTGTTATCATTTTAATTTACTGATATCAAAAATAAATTTTTTAAAATTAAAAATAATATTTTAATATTTTTCTCAATAAACTTACTTTAAAAAACAATTGCTCCAAAATACCACTTCCTTTCTTGAGATTTACTGCACTGAAATATAACAAAAAATAATGCATCCACATTTGCTAATTCTATTAATGCATGTGTGATATTGGTGAGGCCATATATATATATATATATATGATTATTGTTGGTTGAGCGAGCTAGCATCGACAAGTCCAGACTTTGTATATAATGGAGCTTATAGTCTTACAATAATATTGCCGGCGACGGATCTTGTGGAGGTTCTCTTTTCTTTCATGAATAAAATCGATTTGAAATTCATCCATCTTTCATGGACAAATCCGAATGTCTTGGCTCTCTATGTGCTCGGTCGGAATCCCACATTCCACGCACCTGCGAAGCAAGGCTCTTAGTTTTTGTTAAGATGAATATAATATATTAAGATCACTATTATAGATTATAGTTTTGATTTTCTTATGAAAAATAGTTGCTATCTGGATGTAACCAAAAAATAAGAAATCAACTTCATTTTTAACAAATAAATAGATATTTTTAATTTTTTATTAAAAAACTAATTAAATTTATACTTCTTTGTTGTTTGTTCTTATTCTTCCGCCTCAAAACTTTTTTTAATTCTAGTGATAATAACAACTCTTATAAATAAATCGTGTACATTTGAATTATTCATCAAGATGGAAAACAGAATTATGATAACCTAGCCGCCCATGATATGGAACACGAGGCAATGTCCGCAAAACACATAAGCCTAGAGAATTATGGATCATGAAGCTCGTTCCGGCAACCAGAACTTTAAGTGCAAATCGCAACCTTTATGGTTAGGGTATATTATGAAGCTCACTGTTTCCGGTGATCGCACTTTTCTTGAGATTCATCTTAGCAATTTAAAATTATTTTTTAAAAAATTTAATAATTAATATTTTGTAATATTTTTGTATTATTTTAATGTTCCAATATGATTTTTAAAATTTTTTAAAATAATCTTCACAACAATTTTTTAAATTTTTTTAAGTTATAGGTTATCTTTATGATCTTCACAACAATCATCTTCTTTAAGCCCTATAAATATGCAGAAAACATAGCCTCTAAAGCCCCAACATAACACGTATGTTTTCAAGTGTTCTTGCTACCCAAGTCTTGCATTCCAAACCTCCGATTACATCCACCAGCCTTGAAAAAAAACTTATCTTTATGGAGTTTTTGTGTGGATCCCATTAAGAATTATGCCCATCAAACAAAACATACGTGCGGAAAACAAACTATGTCGTTAACATACTGGTTTTGGATGGCCTAAAAGTTGCACATTGAAATAATGCTGCTTAGTTCTTAAGCAGTTCATACAGTTGACGAAAAAGCTGCTCAAGAATGGAAAAAAATGGTGCATCCACTGTTCATGAAAACATATTATACTTTGGTCATTAAACTTTATTTCTTTGTTTTTTTTATAATGCTCCAAGGTTATGTTGACATGCTTCTATGTTTTATGGTTTGTTTTGCCTTGAGTGCTCTCGTATGTGCACCATAAAAAAAGATTGCTCAGATGTTAAATAAAGGATCACTATATTATAGGGTTCAGCTAAAAGAATATAGAAAGAACGATAACCACAATTAACTGAACTATTGTCAAGAAGGAGATATCATTTATTTAAACGAGATGGGTTATCAGCTACCTTTAAGAGAAACTTATGCAATTCTAAACATTCTTAAACTTTGGTTTTGAAGGCGAAAGGATTCCTAAATTCTACGCCTTAATTAGCATTTGTAAGAATTATCCTTTTCCCCGTCAACAAAGATACAGATTGCGATGACCATTTTTGAGCAGCAGAAAGCAATGTGTGTGCTTATTTATAATTTCTGAAGATTTGCACTTCGTTTCTGGGATAGTCTAAACAGAGCAAAATCACATCCCTACATAAAAAAAAAATGAAGAGAGATTGATTGAGAGATTACTACGTACGAGCTTCGTTACAGGGAAAAGCTAGCAGGCACTTGTTGTTTCCATATTCTTTCTTTAAGGGGGATGAATATACTAGGCCACCTACTTAATTATAATCTATATATATAACATGCGTGCTTCAGTATCCTTGTTTCAAACAAACAAAGCACACTCTCAACAGTGATGTATAAAAAAACAGAGGTCTGACGTATTCTAAACTCCATACATGCACGCTTCAGAATTTAACTTTCCTTTTTAAAAAAAAAGGAAAAGAAAAAAGAAGCCAGACAGAGGCTACCAAATTTGGCTTTGTCTTCTGTCCCTCTTATTTCTTAGTCTTAGCTGAAAATTAGTTTTTTTATAAAGTGAAATTTATAAAAAATATTTTTTAAAAAAAGTAATTATTATTTAATATTTGATAGCCATAGATTTTTTTAATAAGTCTTGAATTTTTTTTAAAATTTTAATATATTTTGTACAAGGATTTACAATTAATATTATTTAATAAAAGATAAAATATTTTTTTTAATTCATCTAAGATGATAAACTCTCTCTTAATTACTTAAATATTTTTATAAAGTTCATGTTATATCTAATATTTTTTCTATTTATTACTCTTAATTAAGATAACGAGTAATAAAATCAAAGTATAATATTCTCTATATAAAATAAATTAGTGATATCTAATTTAAAAATTACTTGTGAATCTTTTCATAAATATAAATGATCTTTTTTCATATAAAATTTTCATATGGGTCATTCTACAAGCTTCTAGTTCTAAATATTCCTCTCACCTTAATTTATGAAAATAATTACTCTATTTTATAAAGAAAAAAACACGATATGTATCAATTTCAAGAATTCTAATTAATGTTTAGTTTTAATAGAATAATAACTATTTAAAAACAATACTTTAATGCAATAAAAATCATGTAATTATAATAACTTTATATTTTTTTTACAAAGCTTTTTTATATTAATGAATTTATTTTTACTCTACATTTATTAATAAAATATTAAATTTATTAATAAAATATTTAATAAATATTAAAAATAAATAATTTTTTATTAATAAAATTAATATATTTATATAAATAAAATTAATATCACAGCAACCAATTAATTATAAATTATATTCTCTAGCATCTTCATCACATTCCTTGAACGAAGCTGTTACCATCCGACGTCCATTTTTCCATATGCTACTAGTTCTCACCATGAAATGCAGAGCCCCTGAAGGAAGGAGACGCACAAAAGGATGGAGACCCACTAAAGGTTGGAGGAACGACAACAGAAGAAGAAACCTTGAACCTCTTACTCCTTGAACACTCTCCGCAACAAGTACTGGCATCTGGGCTATCAATCCAACCCATCATTTGATCAGCATCAACAGTGATGACTTCTCCAGTATCAGATCCATCTGAATCAAGCCCATGTTGTCTGAATTCAATCCATCCATTGCTACAATCTGAAACATTAGATGTTTCCCAGGAATAAGAAGGCTCATGACCTGATGCATGGGGCACAACGATGCTTGGCTGCACAACTTTCTCAATGTTCTTCGTGTCCACCGGGTTTTGGTATTGGTAGCTCCTACAGTGGAATATATTAGCAAAGGTAAAATGGTCACTCACTCTATTTTTTGTTGACTTATTCTCTGTCGTCCTAGCCGTGATACTCTGTAGATTCTTGCTCAATCTAGCCTTCAACGACGAGAAGCTAAGGCTGTACCTCCCATCAGACTCTGGCATGTTGAACCCACCATTAGAAAGGGATGATCCAGACTGGTTTAAGCTAGGATTAACAGCAGCAAAATTGGTTCTGGCATTCCCCCCCCGTAGGGCACGAGCAGCTTCATCATAGGCTCTAGCTGCCTCTTCAGGCGAATCATACGTTCCTAACCATAACCTTACACGTTGAGATGAATCCTTTATTTCAGCTACCCATCTTCCGGATGGCCTTTGCCTGACTCCAACAAATCTCCTAGCTGTAAGGCCTTTGGTTGCTTGTGCCTTGTTTGTGGTCGCAGTAGTAGGGTTTTTCAGTGTTTCAGGCTCTGCCATTAACAGCAAATTATAACAAGGTTAAACAGGCTAAACTTATCTGAGCCGTGATTAGGTCTTTTGTAGCACTGCATGTATATGTTGCAGGTGGAAAATACATAGAGGGTATTAGCCCACAATTAAGTAGTGATTAGCACCATGTATATAAAGGTGGCTATGGCTCCAATAAGTTTGTGAGTGTAGGCAGTTACCCATCTCAGTTATTTGTTTTTTTTTTTTTTGCATTAGATTTTAGCTCTAATCAGTACTTTGCATAGTGCTTCAAGCAGTGGCTTCAGCTTAATGACTCGGCTGGTGACTAATCCATCCATCTGGATGCTTCATCTCATACAATTAATTAATCATGCGCTAATTTTAATTAATCAGTGCTTATCACTCAAAAGAAACAATAATTTAATATTTCAATTATTAACCTCTTATTTGTTTCATATATAGAAGTCATCCTCGTGGGGTCATGATTGGGCTGTCCACGTTTGGGGGATTGTAAGATAGAATTATATCCCGGTAAGTAAGAATATATATGAGCATAAACTTTTATTCTGAGTTAAAAAAATAAACATAAGAATGATATTTACAATGAAAACTAAATATAATTTTATGTTCATGAAAGAGGTTATAATAAAAATAATGAATGAAAACATATATTTTAAATGATATGTGATCATTTTTATTCATTACTAGAAACGTGGCTCGCGCTATGTCGCAGGTTAATTTTTTTGTATTAAAAATATCAAAAAATTTAAAATTTAAGAGTATTATGTTTTTTTATAAAATTATAACTAAGAGCATTTGGTCTATCTATTACTCTTGATCCAAAAGTTATATTTATAATATAAATAATAATATTAAACTTGCATAACTCAAGTTTAAGTGAGTTTGGTTGCAATATCAAACCCGGAGCTTTTGATATGAATCTAGTTGCAAGATTTTATTTTAAAAGTATGATAATTAAAAAAAAATTAATATTACATAATGAAATTAAAAAAAAATTATTTGAAAAGAAAAAAAATAAAGCAAAGCATTATTTTGATGAATAGTGTTTTGCAAGGAAAGATACAGTAAAATCTCCTCATGAGATCACAATAATTTAATGACCAGTAAACAAAACAAATCATAAAGTTTAATTCTGAATCAAATCGATATGAAAATATGAAATTGAAAGAAAAAATTAATTAAGAAAAAAAAAATCTGAATCAACTGGTTTAACCCGTCAAACTTAGAATTTGTGTCATGAAATTAAAAGAAAAAAGATTATTGTCTTTTAATTATAGTTAATTACAATTTTTAAAGATGAAATTGGAAGAAAAAAACTAATAAAAAAAAGAAAATAAAATCTGAATCAACTGAGTTAGTCCACCAAATCAGGTTAATCTGTCAAACTTAGTATTCATGTCATGAGAGTGTGATAACTAAATAGAAAAAAATTAATATTAATAAACTAAAATGAACAAAAACAGATTAATTAAAAAGAAAAAAAAACAAAGGGAAAGAAAACCTACAGGATGAAAAAAAAACTAATGAAGAAAAAAAATCTAAATTAACTGGGTTAATTCATCAAACCTGGGATTTATGTCATGAAAGTTTGATAACTGAATAGAAATAAACTTAATATTAAAAAACTAAATTTTAAAAAAATAATTAAAACAGGAGAAAAAAGGAAAAGGAAAAAAACAAAAATACTAAACAAAAAAATATTATTTAAAAAAAAAACCTACATGAAGAAAAAGAAAAAAAAATCAGAATTAACTGGGTTAACCCTTTAAACCATATTAACCCATCAAATCTGATATTTGTGTCATGAAAGTTTGATAACTGAATAAGAAAAAATTATAGGTTAACCTATAATTAGCTAGATTAACCCGTCAAATCCAGAATCCATGTTATAAAAGTTTAATAACTAAATAAAAAAATTTAACATTAACAAACTAAATTAAAAAAAAATAATTAAAAAGAAAAACCAGAAACAAAATCAGGGTTAACCCATCAAATCTAGAACCCGTGTAATAAAAATTTGATAACTAAATATAAAAAAAATTAATATTAAGAAAAAAATTAAACAAAAAAATATTCATTAAAAAACAAAAAAAAACAAAACAGCTTAAAATAAACAAAAGGCAAAACAAAAAACCAAAGCAAAAAAAAAAAATAGCTAAGCGTTTCACTGTATATTGCACTCGAAAAAATTAATTAAAAAAATAAAAAAAATTAGGTTAATTTAACAAATTTGAAACTTGTGTCATGAAAATTTAATATTAATACAAAAAATTAAGTAAAAAAATATTTATTAAAAAACAAAAAATAAAAAAAACAACTTAGTGTTTCATTGTAAATTTATACAATGGAACACTATATATATAAACTACTTGCCGTCGCCATCATTGATGATGGAAGTAACATTTTTCTCTTATAAATATTATTATTATTATTATGTTTACACCACCATTTTTCTATCATCATGGCCGTCGCCGTTACTTTTTCTACCTTAATTCCCCGCCACTTATCTTTCATTGTCTCCTCTCGTGATTGTGATGATTGCATTAATTTTTAAAAACATATTATTATTATTACTATCATATTCTTTTTTTTCCCCACCACCACTAATCATTTTTTACTACAGCCACGATTGATTAAAATATTTCGTAATCATTTTTTTCTCAATTTAAAAACAAGGAATTAAAAATTCAAATTTCATTTATTACCCTTTCAAACAAGAAATTAAAATGTTATTCCCCTTACAATAGACCTTTCATTTTTGGTAATTAAATGAAAATCATAAGATAATAAACTTTTTGATATCATAGTACTTAATTTATCCTTTATAATAAAGTCAATAACAATAAATTACTAACAATAATTTAACTAAGATGTTACAGCTATTAAAACTAACTTCCACATTTTAAAACCAAATGGTACAAAAGATTTGTTTCTTTTACCAACTTTTACACATTTCTTTTTTACTTTAGATGGACTCGATATTGATATAAAATAATCACTTTGCTTTATTATAGAAAATGACGATAATATTAATACTGATTTAAATTATGCCTTTTATTTTTGAAAACAAATATATATCTAGTTATACACATGATAAAAGAAATATTTTATCTTTGAAATGGCACATATATTTTTTATATAGAGAGCCTTGCCTTCTTATTTTTTTTGTTGTTCAAATTATAGTTTTTAAATTTGATCCAGCACGACAAGTTAACCTGGGATCCGGTCAACTTGAGACTAGAATTGAGTTGGGTTAAAGAAAAAACCTGGTGTAATTCGGTTGACTTGGTAAGATTCTATCAAAAACCCGATTATAATCCATTAATTTTTTTTTATTAAAACGATATTATTTTAATTTTTTAAAAAAATTAACCTGAACAACTCAGTCAAAACCCAGAACCCTGCCTTTAGACAGAGCTAAGTCTAAAAACTATAGTTCAAATAGACCCAGGTTTACTATGAACTGCTATCATGCCTTTGGGTTGCTCCTTCTTCTTCTTTGTCTTTCTTTTTAGTCCTTTCATGGTTATTCATTTTGGTCCATAATATTTTTTTCGTTCAATTCCATCCTGCTATGATAGCATAATTTTAAACCTCAAATTATTAAAATAACATGGAATAAGATAAAGGCAAACACAATAACTTTTTTTTCTTTTTTTTATTGTTCATGAGGCGTGAAATAGCACAACTTAATCCCTGTTTTTTTTTTGTCTTTATATTTTGAGAGTTTGACTTTTCATTCTTAAACTTTATTTATTTTATATTTTAGTCCCTAGAACTTGACAAGAGAGAAGAAAGTCACCAAAAATTAAGATAAGAGAGAGAAAATGGTTGGTTGACCACATTTTAGTAATGAAAAAAGTTAATTTTGATATCAATGAATTTTTTTCACCCGAGAATTGCTATTAAAGTGCTTTGAGCTTCCCTCTCAAAGAAATGAATTGGAGTTAAGGAAGAATTTATTTATTCAATTTAATTCCATGCTTATTAATTGATTTAAGGGCATTTTGAGATTTGAAATTAGTTTATTAATGTTATTACAATGTTTATTATGTATTTTTAGATAAAAATAGTTAAAAATAGAACTTTAAATCCAAAAAATCTATTATCTAACTTTTTAGTGACCTCTCTATTCATTGAAATCTAGAGCAACACATAACACATCATTTATGTCATTAGTCCTTAAACATTAAAAAAAATAAAAGCTAACATCACGTGCCTGGTTAATTTTGTAGGCCCACAATCATTAGACTTTCATTTTATGGCTTAACCCTGCAAGGTTTTAATTTTGGTCTTAGATCCTATTAAGTTAAATAATTTTTTAATTTATTTTTTAATTTAAGTTTATGATAACAAAAATTTAAAAAAAAAATTAAAAGTTAAAAAATAAGATTAAAAGAAAAAAAAATTGGTGACAATATATTGAATAAACCAAGGTTTCGTGGCTTAATTTGTTAAACTCACAACTTAATCATAAACTTTGTTAAGCTTAATAATTTAATTTTAATTTAATTTTTTAGCTAACTATATGATAAAAAAATAGAGAAAAAGTAAAAGGTTGTAATTAAAAGAACAAAAACAAATTAAAAAGAGGTCTACACACAAGCTTAATTTGGGTTTTAAAAAATATTCAAGTGCATGGACCACCAGCTTAGATATGTGTATTTAGAATTTTTTATAGAAAAAAGTGAAATAGAAGATATGTTGTCTAATCTTACCTAGAATTTAGTCATTAGTGGTGGCTGAAAAATTATGAATTGATTTTTGGGTTTAAAACCCTTTTTTTTCTTTCTAAAATAGTCTTCTAGTATAAATAAAACTACTTTATCGAGCTAAAAACCTAATAAACAATCAAATAATACAAAATCAAACCAAGTAAAAAAAATTTCCCGGCTTCAACATATTTTCTAAGTAATATTGAGGTTCAAACAATCATTATTAAACTTATCTTGTTTAATGAAACATTTTAACACCAAAATTAATTTTTTTAATATTCATAATTTATATTGGCTGATATTTTTTTTATTGTTGAAATTTGATAACTTTCTTTCTTTTCTTTTAAATATAGAGACTATAAATTTTAAAAAAAATTACATCAAAATTAAATTTGAAAAATAATAGGGACTGTGAAGATTGAGAAAAGAAAGTCAAAATTAAATTTGAAAAATAATAGGGATTGTGAAGATTGAGAAAAGAAAGAGAA